TTTTTTAGATTCTTATATATGGAAGGATGAAAAGTTTTAGATAATTTTCCTTATCTAGAAATATTAAAATGGAAGTACAGAATATATTCATATTATGCTTCCAATTTCTCCAATGGAGTCATTTAATGTGGGCAATGTTCATGTATTTTCAATCTTATCACAACGATCTGGTCGCCACGACGATCTTATCATTGAAGATTTAAACTATTCACATGATGATCAAATATTATAAAGCATAAAATTTAGAAAACAATCATATTATTTTCAATAAACAATATTTTGAATAGTGTAAAAGTTTATTATGGAAAAATATTGTGATACAATTTTGAGGAGGCAAAACTTTTTATGCATAAATAATTAAAAAGAGTAAAATCTTTGTAGATTAATTTCGAAGATCATGTACAAACCTTAACAAAAAAAAAATCTCTTTGCGTCTACTCTTCAATATGAAATTTAGTTCCCTTCTCCATGGCGATCTAATTAAATCTACCTTGATGAACGAAACAAAGCATAAAAATTCGAATTTTCCTTACAACCTTCAACATGGAATTTAGATTTCTTCTGGACGGAGATCTAATTGAACCTCCCTTAATAATTGAAGAATACGTAGAAATGATTAGAAAATACATAGAAATGAGGATAAGCTTTGAAAAAAAAAATTCTCTATACCCAAAAGAAGTAATTTTGGCACGAAAGTGAAAAGAATGGTGTCGAGAAGTGATTGTAAATTAAGAGATAAACACCGAAGGGTCTAGATTTTAGAAAAAGAAATGAGGACCATTTTGACTTGTGTGAGGAAAAAATCGACACCTTAGAAAAAGAAATGAGAAGAGCTTTGACTTGTGTAAAGAAATTTATGTTTACAAGAATAAATGAAGACTATTTATAAAGCATGTACACGTTTGACATATTCATTTTACAAGCTGTGTCAAATCGTGTTTTATAAATATATATATGGTACTTTTCTTTAATTATAATTACCAAATCAAATTAATTATAATATACTATATTTAACATACTGTGTACACATCACATGAGTAGACGAAATTATAAACTTCAAATGTAAAATTAAAATTCTCTTATTTTTTAAATAATCCTTTCACTAAAAGACTTAATGATAATTAGAGCATTCGGATACATCAACTTGGGTTCAAATTTGAGCAACCCCTTTCCTTTACCCTATGATCTAATGCTGAAGGTGGTACGAATCTGATAATGCCACTATAAGATGACAAACAAGGGGCAATGCCCGGTTTGGGGATGCACTTCCAAATTCACCCACATTTTTGCATTGACACTGTTGTATAGCAAAGAATGCAAGAGGAATATAGTCAAGGCATTGAGACAAGTTTATTTGAACCGGCAGGTTCATCGCCCCCTTATTCTCACATTATAAGTCAAAAGCTTCAAGAGGCAGAGGATCACAATATCTTTTCTTTTCCACCAGGTTATCAATTTATATAAGAGATCTTGCTCTTCTATACTGATTGCAAATCTCCAACAGCTTTGGGACAACATCGTGCTTTGTTATGGCATAAGTCATGTCCAGTGGGAAGAAAGTGAGACAGATAGCTAGACTAGCATTTTGTTAATAGCAATTCCGAAAGCTAAAACCATCACTTGATGAAGGGAAAAGAAAAGATTTTGCTAAAACTAATTGTTATAGTCGTTCGTATTAAACGTGATGAATGTGCAAAGAAAAGGAAAATGACACTTAAGAATGGAAATCGCATAGTTACACGATGAGGGAAGGTTTCCATGATCCCATGGACTGCAGAAATGACCCATGTTCAACATTGTTCTCCAGCGGTAAAATCGTAAGAGAAACTCCACACAGAAGCACAATTTTCGTCACCTACATGCAATAGAGAATGAAATCATTGACAGATAGCATTTATGTCTGAAAACACCATTACAATATTTCATCATGATACTCAAGTATTTGTGAAAAGAAAAAACCAGAATAAGATAATATAAGACTGATAGGAAGAACTGGCCATAAGGCATCCCAAAGCAAAGAGAAAGTTTGATCATTGATGTGACTGGAAGTACCTCTCAAATGCAAATCCTCATTGTCATCCTCAGGCATTTGAAATCTTCGGTGGCCTGATGAAGTGGTAGCCATTGGCAGGAATGGGTGGAAAGAGAAACCATTAACAGTGTCTGCAGATTACATAGAAAACTGGTAAGAAACAGATCATGCTCAACATAAGCAAAAACAAATCTATTTCTTCCTAAAAGAATGTAGTATATCTAACCAGCTGCAACTTGAAAGCCTGATACCCACTGCCCAGTTTGTAAATCATAGATATGAACAAGACCATCCTAAAAATAAATTTCAGAGAAATTAGCAAACAGTTAATTATTGATTGCACTAGATCAACAGTGATAGAAGAACAAAGAAAATTACCTGACCACCTGTACCAAGATGTCGACCAGATGACTCAATATCAAAAGCTATTCGTTGGTTGGTATCTTCAGATGATCTGTATAACCTAAAAACAAGGTACAAACAAGATCATTGGGAATGTTATTATGACAATGGCATTGAAATCGTCTGTGTACCTGTGATAAAAAATTTAGTTTCTGGGAAACTCAGATTGCTCAAAATGAATTTCTTTTCTTGAATGCATATACAATTTTCCTTCTTGTTTTATTTTCTTCTTAAAGGAAGAAACTATTGCAGCACCGTCCATAAGATTAAATTACTTACTTGTACACAACTTCAACAGCTTTTCTTATGTCCCAGCACATAATATAAGGATCCTAAACAAATTTGATAAAAGACACTGTTAACTTTTATTAATAAAATAAAATGCATGCATTGATTACACCAGCAACAACTTTCCTCAGTAAAAACCTATAGGGAAAGAAAGATTAAGATTAATTCATAAAAAGCAGACAGAGGTATTGGTGTGTAGTTACCAAATCCACAGGTACCAAAACAAATTATACCAAACGCTGGTAAAATTATTCATTAGAGGGACATTTTGAAAATGGCCTAGCAAAGGATTTCATTTAAAGTTTTGGTGGGTTAAATCTAGGTAAAAGGATTGGACTAGAGTTCAGAATGTTAGGCTGACTTTGAGATACAACCACCTTTCTTTGGCATTGATCTAAACATGAATTTTACTGAATTAACGATAAACTTGAGCTGGTATAAACATCTCCGGGATCCAGTGAACCATCATTGACATCAACATACAGTAATAATTCTATTTTTCAAGAACCAAGAACCAGAAAAGGGCAAACAACTCTTTTGTCTTTTGTCTCATTGGCTGTAAATGGAATGACGAATATGTAGAGTATGTTACCTTCCGAGCTCCAGTATATAGATAATTTCCATCTTTTGAGAATTGCACCTGAATGAAAAATGAAAAATGAAAAACAATGAAAACACTTTGCCTTTCCTTGTTGATATCATAAATAAAACCAAGTGAATGACAATAAATGATCACTTACTTGCGTTACCCCACCTTCTTGGCCATGCAAAACATATAAGAGCTCCATATTGTCTTCCCTATAGATTGCAGTAGTCTGGCTGTAAGATCCTGTAGCTAGCATTCCAGTGTGAGCAGGACAAAAAGCAATTGCTGATATAATACCTGCAATGAGTAAGTAAGATCAGGACAATAATGCTTCTTGCTTTAGTTTCACTAGGAATATCAACAAGCTAGTTCAGAAAATTACCTGATTGACCTTCTTTACTTCCTTGTACTGTTGAATACTGTGCAAAATCTCTACCAGGACGATGTATGTCAAATACTCTAACATATTTGTTGTACCCTGCAAATACCCTACAAGTATAAAGAAGAATTAGAGAAAGCAATAAGAATGTTGTTGGGTCCATCAGTGGAACCCAGTGAAAATGCCTATGCAACAAGTAAAGTTCTTGGGAGAGTATATATAGGAATTCCCCCAAAGCAACAACATAATAATTGATTTTCATAAACAATATGGCAAAAGCTATAAACATGGTCCATGGGTGGCAATATAGGTTTCAGAATTGATTCTTTTTTTTTTTTTTCGAAACCTCAAGGAATATTTTCAACCTCATAACATAAACACTCAATACAACAAAAAATTACATCAAGCAAATCATGACAATTTCACTTCTTTGCTTACTTAGTCCCTGCAGGATTAAATGAAACTGAAAAGGCAGCAGTTATTTCATCCACAGCATCATAAGCTCGATATGTGCAGCGCAGCTGCAAAAGTTATGACACCAAATATAGTGAAAAAGAAAATAGATTCTACATTTAAAAAAAAGTAACATGTGCAGCAAAATGACCACCCAAAATCTACGCAATCAATCCAAAAGGTTTTAATAAACCCTGCCTGCTTCTTGCACATGCAATGAGATCATCAAGTTTTATCAAAGGCCATAATAATAAAATTATTTCTCATTCAAAAGATGTAAATATGTGAGCAAAACGGATGATTACCAGGCCAGAAGTAGCATCCCAAAGATGAATTGGATGGTCACGAGTAGTAGTAGCAAACACACAGGTAACTGGATCTGTTTGACGGTCACATAGGAATAAGTTTTAACTGCAAATCAAAGTCTAATCCTAATAACATAATAAAAGAACTGCAAAAGCACCTGAAGCTGACATGTATGGATACCAACAGAAATCATACACAGACTCCCCTTCACTCACAACAAGTTCTGCCTTATAGGAATCTGTAAATTAGAAGTAAAACCACAAATTAAACTCTCAAAAGACCACGTTGAATTCTCATTCTCAGATATTAATTTGCAAAAGTGCTATTCCTTACCTTCTTCAGAGGCTGAAGAACAAGCAGTAACATGATCACTGCTACCATTATCCGGCCTAATAACAAGTTTTTTTATTTAAAAAAATGAAAATATACTAGAAATACATTATAAAAAAAGAACAAGAAGAAAAGAATTACAAGGAGAAAAGGCGAAGAGTGTTATCCTCAGAACTGGTGAGAAAACACGAGCCATCAGGAGACCTACAAAGACCAAACCCAGAAAATTCAAAACTAAAAGAAAGCAAAAAGAAAATGGTAGCAGGGGCAAAAGGGGCAATAGAAAATACCATTTGACGCCTTTGAGAAAATTGTTAGGGTTCGGACCGGTTCTGAACTGCTTTTGGAAGTGATAGGTTCTGTACGGAGGAACATCGAACTTAATCTTAAGCGGCCACCCGTGTCCTTGTTGGTTCGTAGATTCTGAGGTTTCCGTCATTTCGATTTGGGAGTTGGATTGCTGATTCTCTTCTTGTCGTTCCTCTTCTCCCATTTTGCCGCCAAAAATTAAGCTTTGAGAAAGAGGAGCTTGCAAGGGTGTTTTATTCGCTGAAATGAAGGAAGGCAGACATCGGCCCAAGGGTATTTGACAAAAGTTTGAAGGAAACCCCTGTAGTTTAGTGTAATTGCATTTTTTTGCCCCAACAGTACACAGCAATTAGTAAATAAGTTTTCACCCTTTCTCGTACCAAGGTTTTGAGACAGCTACGAAATTAACTTAATATTGTGATATTATTATGTGATATTTTCATTATTTACGGTAATATTATGCAAATATAAAAATTATATATGACTCAAATTGTTCATTTTAAGAATTTACTTAATCAAAAATAAAAATATAAAAATTTGATTAAAAATAGTAAAAGATTCAAGAACTTTTAAACACTATGTCTATATTAATTTGAGGAAATGGCATTTTCATGCTACTATGCCAGATGATACATGAAATTAACAACTTGATATATGTTGCTTTGTCTCACGAAGATTGAATCCAAAAACAATTGCATTTCTTCATTGTTTCCCAATACATGTAAATAGTAATTGAAAAAAAAAAAAAAGAATTACATGATCTCTATCAATCGTTCTGCCTTACTGGGCATTGCTTCATGCCGACTGTGTTTATTGGGACAGAACTATTTGATTGAAATAAGGAAACAATAGTGTCCTTCCCAATAGGTGCATTTGTCACCAAAGGAAGTTATGAAAATCCAGTAAATCATGAATGATTGCATTCCCTATGCTAAGAACTTTTTAGATATGGGTCATCCTTGTGTTTTGAGTACAAGGGAAGATCAAGGGCAGTCTCTGCAACCTTTCTGTCCTCTTGAATCTTTGCTATCAGGCTTTCAAGGGATGGGAAATTAACCTGTTGCATGTAAAGCTTGTTAGTACGAAGCGTAGTAGTATGACTGGGAGAACAAACTGGAAAATTAAGCATGCTAACCATTACCTCAGGTCGTATATAGCCAACTATGACAAGATGCAATTCCTCACCATAGAAATCCTCACTAAATTCATGAAGCAACCATGGCTCCTGCAGCATGAATTAAATTTAGGAATAAAAGAGTTGAAGAAAAGACTTGTGCAGGTTACCATCCAAGTTAATATTGCACTCACTATAGTCTTTTCAGCATTGTTGAAATACGGGTTCCAACCGATACTCATGACCATTTTATAAACACCTCTTGTAGATAATACAGCCCAACCAAAATATACCCCTGAAGGATGTTCTGAAAGGAGACTTGAGTGGCCTTCTGTTGACAAATTGGCTGGAAACAAGAAAAGGATAAAAATAGAGCAGAATATGAAGAATAACAGAGGAGGAAACGAAAAATGAATCTGAACAACTTCAAACATCTTGATGTCACATCAAAGCAAGGTAGCTCAAAGACTTTAAGTGTTTAGGATCTGCTAGTTACAGGGAGATCTCTAACTTTGATTTCTTTCGAAAACTATTCAAAGTCCAAGTAATGTACAAATGCATACTCGCTTAACAAACCAGAACAGTTTATTACATACCTGTAGGGATTCCAAGTACTTTTGACCCACGACCAAATCCCTTAATGACAGGACCACCAATATACCAGGGTTCTATTGGCAAAGTTCCCTCTACCCCTGCAATCACAAAGATATTCTTATGAAGATTGTTTACAGAGTAACAGTTACTAAACAGTATATAAGACGAAGATAGAGGCCTCAGAGGTTTACAATCTTGAAATGAAGGTAGGCCCCACTTTTCAGGTTGCAAATCAAGCAGAGAATTGATCACTTCATCTGCTGAGGTGTAAAGATGAGCTTGTTTTGGAACAGATGGCACAGCAACAACTTCAATTCCAGCAGCCTTACCAGCTGTAACACCTGGCCTGAAATGGCCATTTCCTAGTATTAGAGATAAAATCTATGTTCTATGCTTATGGGTATTCATCTAAACAATGTATGTGCTAATTAGTTAGAAAAACAAAGCATCTAAAACATTACAAGACCACATAGCAATCAGGTACACTGAAGGCTGTGCTCAAATGCTTTGCCAACTGCCAGATTAAGCTGCCAATAGGACTGCTACAGCAATAAAATTCAGTAGAGTTATGAGGTAGCCAGAGTTCCTTTCCTTTTTATGATGTCCTCCATTTCAATTAATTAGAGCTACAATTTTCTCTTAAGAAAGAAATACTGACAACATCAGCAAAAATACCAGCTGCTAGTGTGAATATATGATACTTATGCAAGTATCCAGATGAATTGCTTCAAAGAATAATTACTACATAAAAGGAAATGGTTTCTAGGCATCAGGCTATAGATTCCCAAGAGCTAAATCAGTCCACCAGAGCATATTTAGGAATAAATTAACTTTATTTATTCCTAAACGGAAAATGTAACTAACCGTGCATCATCAAATGGGAAAGCATATTAGCCAGAATAGTTATATAAAAGTGGAGGTCGCTTACATAGAATCTTCAATGACTAGGCAGCTTGAAGGTTCAGTGTTTAGCCTTTTAGCTGCTTCCAAGAATCTTTAATAGGAAAACCAAGAGTGTTAGAATTTGATAAGATAAAACCAACAAAGTTAGAATTTTTATTTTAATATTACAGAAAATACATCTAACACAAGATCATCATGCAACTCACATTTCAGGATTTGGCTTCCCTGCGGTCACTTCATCACCACCGACAATGACGGAAAAGTAGTCCTTCCAACCTGCAAAGGGAAATGATTAACAGACAGCTCTAATAATATCTTGGAGGGTTGCCAGAAGTTCCTATGAAAACAACCTTGGTGATAAGAAATTTTGGATTCTATGTTTCCCCTTGGAGAGTTTGAAGCTAAAGCCATAGGCACGCCATGACCACTCAAATGTTTAAGTAGTCGATTGGCACCTGGAAGAGGTTTAATGTTGCATAACCTACAAAGATTATAAATAAGAGCCTTAATATTGCGCTAGTTCCAGTTACATCAACATCTAACAGCAAGCACATAAAACCTGACTCACTGAGCAGAGAATATAGGATAGAGTTCCGCGAGAAATTCATCCTTTCCGCAAGGAAGCCCATATTCTTCCACAACAGCTGCAGCAGCTTCCAATGGAGTTTTTCCTATTATTCTTTGAGCTTCTCTTCCATCCCATTGTTTCCCATACTTAACCAAGAGACCTTTCAAAACCCCGCCTACTACACCGTCTGTCACGAGATCGAAAACAAATCATCACTATATAAATCAAACTCTAGAACCCGAAACCAATGAGAAGCAGATAGTTGCGTAACTTCAAGAAAGCAATAACCTCAAATGTTTTTAAAGTGTTGGGTCCATAATCAGAGTACCCAAAACTATATTTTTCTTTTATCTTACATAATTCAGGCCAAACGTAGGTAATCTGGGGATGCATTACAAAAGAAAACAAAGAAAAATAGCTATCAACCAACAACACGTTCCTTGCAGTAAAAAGGAAATTCATAGTAACTGAAAAGCAAAAGCTTACCAGTGTTGAGAAGTGTACCATCCAAATCAAGGATGACACATGAAACCAACTTCTTTGAAGGATTGGCCATCGATGTTTTAGTGATCAAACATTAATCACGAATATACTATCTCTGAAAAGGAAGGAAGCACGTATTATAGCTAGCGGAGAAGTTGGGTTAGTTGATTGAGAATGGTAGGGTCAATTTATTCAAGCCACCGTCCCTGGTAATTTGTGGTGGCCAGAGGCTGAGAAATCGACAAAGATTTCTTTTTTTTTTTTTTTGGGTTTTTCTCTTTGGCTAGGGAGATCGATTTGCCATTCGACAAGCATTTATTATAATTCACTTTATTACCCCTTTTGCCCCTGCCTCCATTCTTTATTTTATTCCTTTGTCAGAGCGAATTTTGTAGTGGTTTTGATGTCGATGATTATTATCCCTTAAAAAGTAAAAAAAAAAATCCAAAATTTGCAAGAACATGGTTTCTGGAATCAGAATAAGGAAAAATGAGACAAATCACGACAGAATCGCAGAACCCACCACCGGCCTGATTGAATTTGGAGCTTCTCTTGGAGATTTCTGCTAAGCCACATTCCATTTTTACGTCAGCTTTATGCCTTAAAGCAAATGCCATAGCCAAGTTGTTTGACAAATACTACAAAGGCAGGCTCGTTCTGTATTTTGCGGTCCTTGTTTGGTTTCTTAATGAATGTCTCTTCTTCGTTCATCCCTGTTGGCATCACACTCTCCACTCTTTTGGTTTCTTTGAGCAATTACCAGAAATAAAGACTTGTGTTTTAGGTCGAAAGCATTCCCTCTGATTACAGACAGATTTCATATGTAAGGTTCATCACTTGCATTCTTGTTTCCAATGTTCCAGGAAATGGTTTTTGCCCCAGCACAAAATACGACATAAATGATAAGATACTTCTAACTTCTTGCCCAGTAATTCAGCCAAAACTATGTTTAATTAAGGAAAAGAAACCAATGTATTAGAAGAACTAGAGAGAGCTTTGACATAAGTCTGATATTGTAACTTAGAAAAAGAAAAACGGAAATTCTTGAAAGAACTAGCCACTGGAATACTTCAGCACGGGAATGCTGTTGGATATTATCATCATAATCTGGTTTCTCTTAAAATTCCCCATATTCCTGTCTGGCCAGGAAGATTTCCAGGATCGATAAAGAGCGCCACTTTGTTCATAGATAACCACCTTCTTTAGCTCTGTTGCGTCGTTGAGCAGAAATTGCATCAATTCTACTAAAAGTTTGGACCCTGAAGAACTTGGTTGGAAACCTGTAATCTCAATATGCTCTAGGCTTTGCAGGAAAGACTTGAAAATCCAATTAGCTGAACTCAGGAATGCTACTCCATCCAATTCGTAAGAGTTGAAAAATTCCTGATCAAACTCAAACTACAGAATAGACAAAAGTACATATTAGGTACTAACAACAATAAGAGAATTCCAATCAAGGCAGTATATTTTGTTTCAGAATCTGAATTCTGATGAACATAGATTATCGACTGAGAACAAAGTCGGTTCTATGTATGTATGTGTGGTACCAACTCCTGCTGTTGTAAACCCAATTTCAGTGGGCTTTTTCCCTTAACTTTTTGTCTTATAAGTTGGCCCAGCAATATTTCTCTTACGGCCTTCTGTTCATACTTCATAGTCTTTGCCTCCTTGGAACTTGAAAAGAAAGTTTATTATGTAACAACACTTACTTTTAATTTGAATGACAATAATTTGCTGTCTTTTCAAGCACAAAATTAGATAAATATTATTCTCTGAAAGTTGAAAATGGACATATGGATGCGTTGAAGTTCATTGCTCTGTTTTGTCTTGAACCTTGCCTTCAGTTTAGCTTTGTTACTGTGGGAGTTGATATGCATTCTACTTGTTTGTTGAATGCAGATCATTACCTCATTATTCATATCCAGCATTTCTAATGTATTGAAAGAAGGAGAATCCATGGTCTTACCTTGGAGTTGTCACAGGGAGACAAATTTAGCACCAGTTTCTTCAGATAAGGTGAACTTTGAAGCAGACTCACAATCCCAGGAAGATCCCACTCACATATTTCTGTGTCCAGGACCAAACAACTGCGTTTGGACAATGGGGAAGATATGCCCTTAATTTCCCATATTGATAAAACCTTATACAAAATAGGAGACAGTGACACCAAAAGACATTTAGCAGAGGATACTATAACAAAGTAGAACACAACTACGTTAACGCTTTAACTGGGAAAAACAACATGCCTAGAATCATGAGTTGATCAACCATTAATGAGAAAAGAAAGAATGAATTTGAGAATGTGCTTCCACTTTCAATTTTGAAAGATATAGATCAACCAACCCAATATGTAGAGCATGCATATACACAGAGAATACTGAGTCAGTGAACCTGCCTGAAGGCACCAAGTCCCCACGGTCAATTCCTCAACATGACAAAGCTTTTCTAGCAGTTCCCTCAAGATGTATCGGTGCTTTGTGTAATCATACTTGTCTTTTTTGTCAATTGTCATCACAAAACCCAGATTAGCTTTCGACAAAGACGAAACATGCATCAACCTATACGTTCTCCGGTACATGAACCCCAATAGGCTCAATGACTGAAGATTTGGACACGAAATCTCTGTCACGCAGTCCTCTTTCTCATGAGGATCATAGATACCATCCACCACAAGAACTTCCAAACTCCTAGAACTGATTCGTTTAATCCTTTCACAGTTATGCAATTTCAAGTTTCGCAAATTCGGACTACCTGACAAAATGTTTTCAATTGCCTCATTATTCAGCCTCGAGTAATTGATAGATAAAACCTTAAGGGATGGCCAAGAAGCATAGCCGTCAGGTGAGACAACACATTGTCTTAAAGTTAAATCTTTCAAATATGAATTCACGTACAGAAACTGAGGCAACCAGAAAGGTGTTGATTCAGCGAACGGAGCATAAACCAACCCACCATCAAAAACCAGACAGAGCTTCTCAACATGGTGACTTATAGCAAAAAGAACCCACTCCTCCACGTAAGAGGCCAAGGACTCAGTGAATTTGAAGTTGATCGAGAAATTCTTGATCGTATGACCAGAGAAGCGCTGCAGCGTTCGGTTAACGACCTCAACAAATTTAGCGAGCTTAAAACAAAAGCTGCTGTGACTGAAGGAAAGGGTCGGTATTTGAGTCCAAAGAGGATACCATCTCCGAGATAAAACGCTTGTTTTGATGGCGTCTTCAATGGGTAAAAAAGAGAGGATTTCCTGTATGAGGAAATCGGGTAAGGTACTGATAAGGTCTACAGGAGGACTACAATACTCAAATATCGGTGAAAACCTGGGATACTTGACACTGGTTTGAGCAAAATTGAGATTGTTTCGATGTGGACTACGACGATGTTGGCCTTGGATTACGGCTAAAACCGAACTGACAGAACCAGTGCTTTGCTCCGAACAGACAGAACCCTTCTGATCTTCCATTGATTACTCCCGAACTTAGTACTCACTACTCCTTTATATTGCCTACCTAACCTCTGGGTCTTGCCACCATGGTGGTGCGGGACCAGATTTTTTTACAAGCTAGTGAATTCACAAGGGATTATAACACGAGTAGGGAAGATAATTCTCTGCTGTTTCAATCTTGTAAAAGGGGAAAGATGTTTTCTTTGCCTTTCCAATCAAGCTGTTAAAGATCTTTATGCCCCTGTTTTCTCACAGGGTGGTCAAACGAACGTGTCATACATGGGCTGGATCATTATGCCTCATTAATATACCCTGATTCCTTCCCTTTTCTTTTCCCCATTTTTGGCTTTTACAATTACAAATCACAGCGTAACGGCAGTTACGCTGATTTAATATCCTGTTTTCCCACGCAAAAATAATTTTTATTTTGATAGTTGTTAATTTTATTTAAATAACAGATATCTTTTTATTCTTATTTTTTTAATAATTTTAATAGATAAAATTAATGATTTGATCTCTTGTGAGAATAGAAGTTTTCTACATGATACTAATTGAAAAATAAATTATCTCAATAGTACTAATTAAAAATAAATTATCACGGGTATGTCATATATGAAAATTATTAACAAATATAATTGAAATTTACTCTTAAAATTAAAGATGCAGTTGAAATCATGCTTCTTTGATTTAGCTTATAAGCAAATTTATTTTTATTACATAATTTATTTTTGTTTTTTTATGACATAATATATAGAAAATCATAAATTATTCAAACAAATTTAAATAAATTCTTATTTTGTATTACTTCAATTAAATTTTTATAATTTTATTTTTATTAAAATTTCAACATGTATTCGATGAAATATCAAGAAAGATTTTTATTTACTAATTAAAGGGATGAAAAAGGAAAAATATTTGGTTTATGATTATGCGGGATATTGATAAGATAAAATAAGATTAAAAAGTGTAAAAAAATTATATAATTTTATTATTTTATAAATATGTTCATAGTGTATAAATTAAAAATAAAATATGATAAATATTATCCATGACATATTTTGCATATAAGATATAATTTTATTTTAATATATGATGAAAAATCTTTATGGCTTAAATTAAACTCTACCCAACTTTCATCTCAGTTTTACTACTCCCATTAAGTGTATAAATTCAGGGCACGTCAATTTACATTCGATTAGATTAATGTAATTAGCTTATAAGCAAGTAAGGTGATTTTCACGTTAGACAAATAAGAAAATCTCGGAAAACTTATACACATGAACGTTATATATTTTATTATATTATTTTTTAAAGTAATAGTTCCATAACAAAGTGATATTATAACTGATCTGCTCTAGACTTAATTCATACCAAACACCAATTAAAAGAAGGCAAGTAAAGAATGATTGACAATGACAAGAGTGTTTTTGAAACAAGCTTATAAGCAAGTAATGGCATTTATGACAAAGTGGTATCAAACATGTTCTAACTCTTGGCAAACACCTCTAGAGGAAGATTAGTATGATGGTCAATGGGGATGAAAATATTATTAAATTAGGTGAAAGAAAATATCAGAAGAAATAAGTAAAATACTTTAATTCATGTCACGAAAATAAGAAATCTATAAGTGGGTACACACATCTTATTAAATTAGCCTTAGGAGAGAGCTTAATGGTCTTGTAAACTATGAAAATGGGACCAACTCTATGTAGAACCTTGGTTATAATTAAAAAGAGCTGACCAACATCAAACGGTCGTTGTAGTATAGTGGTGAGTATTCCCGCCTGTCACGCGGGCGACCCGGGTTCGATCCCCGGCAACGGCGTTATTCTTTTCAATTTTGGCCTCTATTTTTTCATGCAAATCGAACCGTTGAATCCCGTAACTGAGTACCCGTTCATTCCAATCAACGCAGCTCCTTTTTCTACTAATTTCTTTTGATTTTTTTTTCCCTCCCCCGGCAAATTAACTGGGAGCCCTTAAACCCCTCAAAAAAAGCCCGCCCTCATTTTGCACATCCCACTCTCCACCCTCTTCCGGTGGCCTCTTTCGTTGCTTCTCTTCTTCTCCGTCACCGTCGTTACGACGCCGTATTTACTCCTCCCTCTACCAGTACTTAGGGTTCCAGCGCATATTTACTAGAAATGCCATTTTTCTCAGCTCTTGAAATGGTAGTACTGTTGTCTTCGATTTGATACCCGAGATTCCGGAAACTAGCCACGATTAAGAACAAACATTGACTAAAAAAAGCTGTAGAGTTTTAGCCATGGAAACCGACGAAACGCCACGTGTGCTTCCCTTTCAGCTTCAATTCGACAAACCTGTTGCCTCTCAGGTTTATTTCTTTCACTTCAAAATTTCATTTTCGTGTCCAATTTTTTTTTTCGATTTTTATCTGAACATCTATAATCATGCATGTTTTTCTTTTTGCTTTCTTTATCTTTTTCGATCAATTTTTGAGTAGATTAAAATTGCGGAATGGAATCCAGAGAAAGATTTACTGGCTATGGTTACTGAGGACTCCAAGATTTTGCTGCATCGGTTTAATTGGCAAAGACTCTGGACAATTTCTCCCGGTAATTCTCGGAAATTTTCTTTATCATTATTAGTTTAATGGGCTGGATTTGATTCAAGTACTTCGCTTGTGGAATAATTTATTGATTTATCGTTCTTTAGGAAGGTGCATTACATCCTTATGCTGGCGTCCCGATGGTAAAGCGATAGCGGTTGGGCTTGAGGACGGAACGATTTCATTGCATGATGTTGAAGTAAGTTAGCCTTTTATGTGTTTGATCAAGTCGTAAGGTCTGTTAATAACTAATTTGCTTATTCAATACTTTCTCTCCATTTCGCTTAATTGTTTAGTTTCTCTCTATATGATTGTTGATAATCATTTTCATTGATTGTGTTTTCTTGTATGTTATAAATGTTGAGTATTCGTGGTACTACATTCTGCCTGAGAACTCCATAATTCTGT